GTATGTACACATAATCTTAATCTTCTTGAAACAAAAAAGAAACTCTACGACCAACATTTCAATACTTAGCACTTAGCAAAGCATTGCTTTAACATTATGTTTATTGGTACATTCACCTTTGTATATTCAAAATACACTGTATATTTTGACATATTTGTATTGAGGAATTGCCGGAGTATTTTTAGATATATCATGTCCTAAAAACCCCTACTAACGGCATCGGGCGCACATAATTCAATTTAAAGCTGCAAAACCTGTTTTGATTTATATTTGTCTGAAAATTGGAATTAAACAGGTACATAATCTCTATTGATTAATGTAAAAGGTGACTCACATCTTGTATTTATAGCTATTCTATGTTTTGTCGTTTGGGCGTTAAAACGCGCAAGAGGTTATTTTATAAAAATTTATCTATAAACATACAAGTCAGATTATTAAAAGTGGACTTAAAAAATATTGACGAATTAAGTTATTCTAAGTTTATTATTTAAATTTTATTATACACTAGAGTGCAAAATAATCGATTCAAAATTCTTTTGCGAAAGTACGTCTCTTACATAAATCTAAAAAGTGTAAATTTAAAAAGATTTAGTGTACAATCATTACCCTCGTTATTGAGTTTTAGAAAAGTTTTGTCCCTGGATGAATCGGATGATGTATTATACATAACGAATGCAATATGTAGATAAAGGGTTAGAAAGGATAATTGAAATCGACACGCATCGACTTGTTTCGGTTAACATCGTACGCATCAAAATCCATAGCAACCCACTACTACATCAGTCACTTAAGTTCGCAACTGCATTGCAAATGGATACCACATCCGTCAAAGCAGCTCAAGCAGTAGCATTATTAAGAGAAGGCCTGAGGGAAAAAAGAAATCGACATTTGACTGGTGCTAATCTCAAAGAAAAACTTAGAGCGGTCCGAGGTGTAGTTACCAACGTTTGGAGAGTCAGAAGGAGACTGAAGGACGCTAACTTGTCACCAAAAAGAGCAGCTACGAGTCCTAAGCTAACTGCAGCCCAGACGCAAAGACGATTAGAATTTGCTCGCGAACATCTGGATTGGGACGACTACTAATGGAGTCAGGTATTATTCTCCGACAAAAGTAGGTTCTGCTTACCCAATAACCACAAGACGTCTTGAGTCTATAGAAGGCCAGAAAAGAGATTTGCTCAATGTTGTATACGAGAAACCATGTCATTTTGGAGGCGGTTCTTGTATGTTTTGGATAGGCATTTCCATCGATGGGGAAACTGAGTTGGTTTTCGTGCATGATGAAGCATGTGGAGGACGTTTAGCGGCGGATCATTACATAAGAGACATTTGGAGGAAAATGTGGTTTCATAAGCGGGATTTATTGGTGATGCCTTTATTTTAATGCACGATGCCATACCGCATAAATCACCACCACCTATCTGGCTGAGATTGGTATACCTACAATGAATTCGCCTGAGTTGAGTCCTGACTTAAATCCGATAGATCATGTTTGGAATGAGGCTAAACGAAGAGTCCAGAACAGAAATCATGCACCAGGGAGCATAATGGAATAGAGCGTGGCACGTTTTTAAATAAAATAGGGAATTCAAGGGAAATAATTCCCTTGGGAATTATACAGATTGATCCAAAAGTCTGAAAACGGTCAATTATCTCCTAAATTGCTAGTTATAATTGTACAAAATTTGAGGTGCACCAATTTTGGGATACGGAGATTTCATATTGGATATTTGTAAGGCTGCAAGATTTCCCGTTTCTCTTATATTATTAGTAACTTTTTAGGTTTTTCAAATTCATTATCCTGTATATATTCAGTCATTTTTGAAATCTCCTATTCAATACGAGTTCAACCATATGTAACACTTATGATTTTATGTAGTCTGGAAGGTCTTAAATACATAAAACAGAAGTCTGGCAATGTCTAATTGTCTCAATAATTTTTTTAATAGTAACTATTTTCAACTACATTAAAACGTAACAATTGATAGATTACATTTTTTAACATAATAGTTAATGGACTTTATTAAGTGTTCAAAATGTGCTCCATTTGTGAGTTGACAGGACTCTAATCGGTGGTAGAATGCGTCTACCACATTTCTCCATGATTGTCTAGAAATTATTCAAGATTCATCGATAATTAGTTGCCTTAGCTCTGCAAGACTCGCTGGTTTAGTTTTGTAAACTGAATTTTTCAAGTATCCCCAATAAAAACAATCATTAGGATTGAAATCAGGTGAACGTGGAGGCCATTCAATTCTACATCGTCTTCCAATCCATCGTCCGGGAAATATCTCATCTAAATATCGCCTACGGATATAGAAGAAATATTGATTTGTTTTTGGGGTATATCTGGTTATGCAAATGGTATTTTCGTCATACAAAAGAAAATATTGCGTTGTGTCGCTGGTGTCTCCCGACTAACTAGTTGTAGAGAATATTTTGAAAAATATAAAATTTTAACATTGGCGTCTTATACATTGTTGACTTATATGTTTTTATTTCTAATAACTTACATCAGTTTAAAACAAATCGTAATATGCATAACTCAAATACTAGATATTGTAATAAACTTTATATACACCATTTTCAAAAGGTAACATTAAATTCAAATCCCCAGGGTATACGGACCAGAGGTGTTTAATCATTTGCCCTCAGTTGTAAAGTCCACCAATCTACGTATTTAAGAAGAATCTGGGCAATTTTTATGTGAAAAAGTGTTTTATACAGTCGAAGAATTGTTTAGCTTTTAGATATTAGCTGTTTTTCATTTAGCTTTTAAATTCATTTCATGTCTTGTTTAGTCTAGTTTATTGTTTCGTTTTTGGCAATGTATATTTATGACTAATTCTATACAAACTATGTTTGTCAGAAAGAAAATAAAGAATTTGAATTCGAATTTGATTAGTAATTTTTGTGTCCATTCCTGTGTTTATTATATCAAAAATGTAGGTCTAACCAAACTTTACATTGATATGTCAAATCATCAATGTAACGTCATTCAAATGGTGACGACTATACTGCTACCGACGTAGAAATAAGCGATCCCTCGGCCTCCCTTAATTACGTTTTTTAGATGGCTCTATATTTTATTAACTTATACACACAATATTGAAAAGCGTTATATAATAACTAATGTGTAACAATGAATTATTAATCTAAGCTTAATAACATACATTATCGACACAAGCGTACTCCACATTTACCACATGTCAATGAATACCTTTTATTATTAACCTCTCACATTTTACATAATCCATAGGAATTTTATAGTAGTACATCAACTAGATATGCATACAATTTTAATTTACATCTTTCTGTACGTATACAATTTGAAAACAGTTATCGCGGATTTGAATATTTAATCGATATTTGAAATTGCTCGCACATGGTATACCTGTTAAATTCAAATCGTTTTTGGCAGTCAGTGCTTGTACTTGCTGAACATTTGTTATTAATTATTCTGATCAGTGCGAAATTCGGTGACGATGTGCTAATGGTTCGTTTGTGATTGGCGCATGCAGACAGCGTGTAATGTACGGGATAAATCATCTGCTTTTGACAAGAAAAATCATATGTTCTCATTAACACTAAAATATAATTAGGCAAATAATAATTTATAGATTATTATATTCAACTAAAACAATTGTAACTTGGATGTACAAAGGAAGAAGAAATACTTCACATTAGATAATTGTAATGCATTTTTTAGGTCACGCCAATATCTTTAATTCTGTCCTATTGTAACGATTTAATTTGCCTACCACACTGGGTATCACTTGTAACAATATATAATTGCTTATAGGGGGTTAAAAGAAGGGACTGTGCAATTACTGGGCTGGAGATAGGATAAGCAAACGTTTGCGAAAGGTCACTCTCGTTTTGGTTGAAGAGCTGGGGTCGTAGGTATCTTCATTTGAGAGACTGGTAGGGATAACTACAAGGGGAGGAATTAAAAAAAAAATACTTCAAGAGATTTCCTGAGCAACAAATACAAGAAGGCTCCTAAACTATTTGAATTGGACGCCGTTTAAAAGAATCTTCCTGCTGGATAGAAAGAAAGAAAAATCCTCTTTTCTTTCCTTGTATCACTGGCTGATGCATCTCCTTTGAAAGTCGGTATTGGAATTGAATCAAGAACACTATCCCATACAAACTGCAAATGGTCTGGGGTGACCATTGGAACATAAAATGGACAAATCTTGGTGAGTAGAAACACTGTATTGGGCTTCAGATTACCGAACAATGCTTTGGATGACAACAAAATGCACTCTTCAAAACTTGGCAGCTCATTTAAACAAACACCTGGGTAAACAAACTTCGAGGAATATTTATACATAACAGCCAGGGAAGTATCAAATAAATTTTTATAAATAGTTATAAGGACATTTTTTATGCTACAATATAAAATACAAGAAATGAAAAGTTATTAAACAAGAACGCTGGATACAATACTAGAACAAACTTCATGCAAGAACTTATCAAGGCAATCACACCATTAAAGACAAGAAACGCAACACCGATCAAAATCAACTCTGATCTTCTAAGATATGGAGGTCTCTTGCTACACTCTAGGAAAATTATCGCCAGGGGATGTAGACAAAATATGTTCCAGATATATCCAGCGAGTTCAAAGAACTAATGAGAGAATATGAAACCTTCTATGCAGCTTACCAAGTTTATTATATTTCGGCCAGTATTAAAGACGCGCAAGGATTGGCATTCATCTTTTGAAGTCAGTTTTGAAGAAGTAAGTACCAGCTCCCGGAAAAGCTTTGAAACACCAAGATGCATCACGTTACCTTTTATACCGGGTAACAAAAAACACTGCTCATGACCAACCCACCCACCAAGATGTATGGACAACATTACTTCAATTAGGGCAGCACGTGCCGGAGTCCAATGTGCAAATATAGCAAACTTTGGGAAAAAGAATGTCTTTAAACAACTTAGTAAAGGCAATTAAGACAAAACATATTAAGATTTATATCATAAAAACTTACCGTGTGATATCTTCGGCGCTAATGGCTCTGGGTGTAGAAGGAGGGTGATGTAATGCCAAATTCGATGAATGTACAGAATGTACTGAATCAGCATAACCATGAGAAACTTTTGTAGCTGTAACAAAAAAATAAATTTATTATAATAGACATTTACAAAATACACATATTGTCATTAATGATAGATTTTTTGATTGGATAAGACGTACACACGCAGAAACAAAAAAAGATACATACAAGCACGCCTACACCACGCTGAATTGATAAATCATTAGACAGCAACACAACAACTGACTCATTATACGGTGAAATTTGTGCTACGACTACTGTGCTTACCAATCCCGAGGTGTAACACAATCGAACCCAGGAAATCGATGCCACAAGTGAAAAGGTCCTAAGTGATGTCACACAGACCTTGTAGCATTTTCGGTTTACCCCGTATATAATAAAACACCGACAAATATTCTTAATCTTTTTGCGTCGCTAAGATTGATAATATAAACATTTTCGAGTCTGTTTATAATAATTTTAATTGCTATTTCGTTTGATCTTGATTCCGCTAGATATTCACGCGTCAAATAAATATGAATATTTTCACTTAGGTTATTGGGAAAGTGATGTGGGGAAGAGAATGATATTGGGTGATGAGATAACTCTTCGATGGATCTTCTGCGGAAGCAGTTGATTTATTGTTGAAGTGATGACGAATTTGTCATCGAAAATTCGTTAGAGTAGCGGTTTTAGGCGAAGATATTGGGTTCTGAACGGGAGAGGTGTTTCTCGGCAGATAATTTTATAAAACCGTCAAAATTCGTTTAATTCCATGAGTTAAATAAAGGTAGGTGAATTGAATCTCAAAATGCTAGCAATGGCAAATTAATTCACATTTCGCGATATAATAAATTCGTTTAAGTGTAAATCAAAGTTTGACCTAATTTGTAAACATTTAATCAAGCATCTGTTGCATCGGTTATTTTCATATATTTGATCTATTGTGACATTAAACACATGAATCAAGATCATTGGTTAGATAGCATTATATATTATCCATTATTTTATTAAATAATTATTCATATTAAATTATAGAGTATTTATTGGAACATAAATCTTTTAATGTGTCAAAACCGTATTGCTTTCATTATACACGTCCGGAAGTCGAAGAACATTTAACATTATCTATTATTATAGAGATTCTTATGTATTGGTCGCTTCTTATACCTATTATACAAAATATTTATATTAAAGAATCTCTCTACGGCACTATCTAAATTCTAGATGCAACTAATAAATTCTCTAAAAACTGAAAATACTTTTAGTGAGCTTGTAACTGCCTAAGTGTTTAGTTTACAACAACTTATCTTCATTATCCTGATTCAAAACCAACCATGTTTGCGCTTAGTGATGTATTCTTCTTCTTTCAGTGCCTATTCGTTCCGAATATTGGCAATCATTCTGGCTATAATTATTTTATTAACTGATGCTTTAAATAGATTCGTTGTTGTTGTGGAGAACCATTTCCTCAGGTTCTTCAACCATGATATTCTCCTTCTCCCAATTCCTCGCTTTCCGAATACTTTACCCTGTAGGATTACCTTCAGTAATCTGTATTTAGTGCTGTTTCTCATTATATGTCCGAGATATTCCAACTTTCTCCTTTTAATGGTATACATCACCTCTCTTTCTTTGCCCACTCTTCGTAATACGGTCTCGTTGGTTATCTTGTCTGTCTATGATATCCTTAGAATTCGCCTGTATAGCCACATCTCGAAGGCTTCAAGTTTTTTCTCCATTGCTTCAGTTAGTGTCCAGGATTCAACTCCGTAATACAATATTGAGAAGATATAACATCGTAGGAGCCTTACTTTTATCTCCAGATTAAGATTGTGGCTTTTAAAGCGTTTGGCCATGTTATTGAATGCACTCCTAGCCTTCTCTATTCTACATTTTATTTCCTGTGAGTGATCCCATTGTTCATTTACTGTTGTTCCAAGATAGTTATACTGTTTTACTCGGTCCACTGGTGTATTATTGATAAGTAGTTGAGCGTCTCTAACTTTATTTTTGCTGATGATCATAAATTTAGTTTTTGTTATATTTACTTGAAGTCCAAATCTTTCACTTACTTCATTTACTTTGTTTATTAGTTGCTGTAAACTGTTCAAACTGTCTGCAAAAATAACGGTGTCGTCTGCATAACGGATGTTGTTTAGGCGTTCTCCATTTAGAAGTATTCCATGTTCGCATTTTTCCAAGGCTTCACTAAATATTTCCTCTGAATATAGATTAAATAATATAGGTGAAAGTATACAACCTTGTCTAACGCCTCGTAGAATCTGGATCATTTCCGTTGGTTCACCTCCAAAATTCGTTCTTATTGTGGCTGATTGGTTCCAGTATAAATTTTGTATTATACGCCGATCTTTATCATCCATTTGGGCTTTTGTTAGAATATCCATCATTTTTTGGTGTTGAACTGTATCAAATGCTTTTTGGTAGTCCACAAAGCAGGTGTAAATATCGCAAGTCATATCTCTGCATCTTTGAAATAATACTTGTAGACTAAACAGTGCATCTCTTGTACCTACGCCTTTCATGAATCCAAACTGTGTGTCTTGTATTCTCTCTTCGCATAGCTTGTATATTCTACGATGTATAATTTTAAGAAAAAGTTTTAATGTATGGCTCATTAGACTTATTAGCCTATATTCTCCGCACTTTTTTGCTCCCTGTTTCTTTGGTAAGGTAATAAATTCTGAAAGTAGCCAATCTTTTGGGATATTGCCTGTGTCATAGATATTATTGAAGATTTTACATAGTACTCTTAAAGATTCATCATCAAGAAGTTTAAGAAATTCAGATTGTACTCCGTCTGGTCCTGGAGCTCTACCTTCTTTTAGTGATATTATGGCTGCTCTTATTTCTGCCACTAGTATAGGTGGTCCTGTTTCCGTAGGTATTGGGGGCTGGTTCTCTCTCTCATCAAAAAATAAATTTCTTATGTAATTTTTCCAGGTATCATTGATACTCTCTTTGTCCACGATTATCTCTCCATTGTCATTAACAAGTTTACTTATTCTTCTGTTTTTACATTTACCTGTAATTTCTCTTACCTTCTTATGCACGTTGAAGTCGTCGTATTTACTTTGGAGAATTTCGATTTCTTGGCATTTTTTCTCCAGTTCTTTCTGTTTGGCTTCTCTGATCTTTCTCTGTATCTCTCGCTGTAATGTTTTATACATGGAGTTATCATCGTTCTTGTTTTTCCTTCTTTCTTCCATTAGTTGCAGAATCTCTGTCGTCATCTGTTCGCGTAGGTTAGACCATTCTTGTTTTCTTGAATGATTCTGTTCGCCTTTGTAACTGGTGCGCTGGTTTAACTTCGCTAGTGGACTGTATCTCTTGTAAAATTAAAGGATATGTGCACAGATACCAAATTTATTACTCAAACTCTCATAACAAAAATAAATCGACTATTTCCACATGCTATATCTTAACCTCTACCTATATATTCGACCGACTGTCACTCTCGGCTGGCGGGTGACGATTCTTCTCTTTTTCGGCAAGACATGAAGTGTCAACCGCCAATACAGCTAAAGCCCCGTCTACAAATGCGCGGCAAATTTAAATAATTCTCATTATTTTACATTTCTGAACATGCCCCCAGCCTTGAAAGACAATCTTTCAACCAATATGAACTATACAAAAATAAAAAAAATATATATAACATTATAAATCAAATAAACATTGAAATACAATCATGTTACAAAAAAACATTGTCCGTCTCGATTGGCAATAGACAAATTCTTGCCACGGCCCGTTTGTAAATTCCATTAACAGTTCTAATCGATACCACTCGCACTATATTGTCCTTTCCAGGGTGTAACTTGACAATCCGTCCTAGATTCCACTTGTACGAAGGCAAGTTGTCATCTTTGATTATGACCATAGCTCCCTCCTTGACACTAGCTGCATTTGTTTTCCATTTAGTGCGTTGTTGTAGCTCATTGATGTACTCTCTTGACCAACGAGTCCAAAAGTGTTGTTTACACTGTTCAAGTTGCTCAAAATGGGACAGCATCGTCTTTGAAACAGCTTCAACATTTGGGTATGGTATGGAATTTATCGGACGACCAATAAGGAAATGTGCGGGCGTAAGTACATTGAAATCGTTTGGATCTGAGGAAAGAGGTGTGAGTGGTCGAGCATTCAAAATTCCTTCAATTTGCGTTACAATTGTATAAAAACTTTCGAAAGTAAGCAAACGATTGGATATAATTCTAATTAGATGATGCTTAACACTTTTAACCCCAGCCTCCCACAGTCCACCTTGATGCGGAGAGTAAGCTGGTATAAAATGCCAATTGATTCCCTGATTAACACCCAATTCCGTTTGTAAAGTAGATTGGTTGCATTTAAGAAAAGAACTAAGATCTTTCAATTTATTGTTCGCTCCAACGAAGTTACTGCCATTATCACTGTAGATGGCAGATGGTTTGCCTCGGCGAGCAATAAAGCGCTGTAATACTTCTAAAAATGCGAATGTGGTCAGTTCAGTGGCTACCTCTAAATGTACTGCTTTTGTTGCCATACAAACAAAAAGACAAAGATAGCTTTTGAAAACCTTGCAACCACGACCCTTACGATCCTTTATCATGAATGGACCTGCATAGTCAACTCCTGTATGATTAAAAGGAAAAGTTTGAGAAACTCGTGATGATGGTAATTGACCCATTAATGGTGTACAAATTGTCGGTTTACATCGAAAACATGTAACACATTCTCTGACAATTTTTCTTACTAAATTTCTACCTGATATGGGCCAGTATTTTTCGCGAATGACTGATAACATTAGCTGCGGTCCTGCGTGACCTAATTGTTGATGAAATTTGTGACAAATAAGGTAAGTTAATTTGTGATTTGAAGGAAGAATTATTGGATGACACTTATCGAATGGAAAACAAGAATTTTGTAGTCTTCCACCTACAAGAATGATGTCCTTTTGAAGAAATGGTGTCAAACTTAGAAGTCGACTCTTCCTGTCTACCCTACCTAGTTTTAACAGATCATCGATTTCAGTCGAAAAGACTTCCTGATGTACAAGTGATATTAACATATCTA